ACCTTTTCAATTCAATTCAATTCAACTTTATTGTCATTAAACTTACACAGGTGCATAGTATAATGAAAAGTGTTTCTCATTAGTCACTCAGGTGCAGTATATAAATAGGACAGAAGATGAGACAATAGACAGTTACACAATAAGACAGTTACACAATAGCAATAATAGTAACATGAAATAACATAACATAAATAACATGTAATCAAGTAATCATTTTTTTGCAACAATTACAGCTACAGGTCTTTTTGGGATAGGACTCTGTTTTTCATACTAGGAATTAGTATGAAAAGTTTCTCCTTTACAGAGCTTGTGCAAGTTTGCAAAGAAGTAATGTTGGTGGGGCATTATTTGGGCAGCAGTTTTTAAAGTCTTGCCAATGATTTTCTATTGGAATCAAATCAAGATTTTGACTGCATCATTCAAAGATAATCAATTCCTTATGTTAAGCCACTGCAGTGTACAGTAGCTGTGGCGTTGTACTTTAGTCACCATTAAGTCACCTACAAAAAGGTGAAATTATATCCCGTTTTGGTCTTTCGCAGACTAAATAAGGTGTTACTAGAGCATTTCTCTGTATTTTGCTCCATCTCTTTTTCCTTTAATCTGGACAAACTGAGGATAAGCACCCCCATTGTATGATGCTGCCATGTTCGACAGTGGGGATAGAGCTGCCTGGCTGATGTGCTGTGCTGGGTTTTGTCAGACATAATGGCTTGTATTTAGACCTAAAAGTTCAAATTTTATCTCATCGGCCCACAAAACCTTTTGACACGTCATGTGTGGAGTATCGCTTGAATGCTTTGTTGCAATACTCATGCAAGAGTTGAGATGGTTCTTGCTTGACGAAGTTCCTACAGGGGAGTTTTGTGGAGTGATGGGGATTTTCTCCCATCTCAGCCGTTGAGAGCCCTTGCAATGTTACCATTGGCCTCAAGGTGGCATCCTTCTTCCTGGGATATTTGAGGAGTAGCCGGATGTAGCCAGTATCAGGGTGACTTCCACTTATCATGGACTTCACTGTGCTCAAAAAGCCATTCTTTGCCTTCTCCAGACCGGTACCTTTCTATTATCCCCGAGTAGCTGTAAAAGCTCATTGGTTGAATTTAGTGTAAGTTGGGCGGAGCGGTGGCTCTGTGGCTAAGGATCTGCGCCTGTGACTGGAAGGTTGCTGGTTCAAATCCCGCGGCCGGCAGAGGAATCCTACTCCGTTGGGCCCCTGAGCAAGGCCCTTAACCCCAACTGCTCCAGGGGCGC